TAACGAGGGCTATGTCGTCCGGTAATATCGATAGTCGCAATTTAATCAATTACAAGAGAGACAGGTTTAAACAGAATAAACTCATCAATTCAACTATTTTACTCTTTATTGCTACAATAATATACATTCGGCGTTGACGTGCGCGTCGGCCGAGTCCGGGCTAAGTTCGTTCCGTTCGAATTAACGCACAGGAAACAGAACGTCACCTTACAACGTATCTCGCGAATTCCGCGATTTCTTACGCGCCCCTCCCTATAGGCACTCAAAAACGGCCGAGCGCCGCCGGCTACGCACACATGTGCGGCTCATGCCGGCGACACTATTTCTCTCTCTCCTCCTCTGCTCCCCGCTCACGTCTATCCCCCTAACGCCAGGCATCTCCGCCGATCAGGAATCAGACCTGCAACAAAGCCACATCGTGCGTCGATACTCGGTTTTACTCAACCAAGACCGATGTGGCAGCGGCTCAGGGGAAGGCACGCGGAAGAGAGAGAGGGCGAACCGGGCGATCGAATTCAACGATCGATTCGCCCGTCACAAGGTTTAGGGATGGTTCACCCTTGAAATACATAAAAATGAAAAGACGTCAAAACACGTCAATTTTATTTTATCATTTCCTAGATGAAAATTTATTTTTCAATTTTTTTATGATAATTTTGTGATTTTGTACACGAAAAATCCACTCAAAAATGAAGTTCTTTCCCTGTACATACTAGGAGTTGTAACCCCCCCGAGTCCAAAACTATACGACTTTGTTTTTTTAAGTAAGAAATATTTTCCATTTTGTTTCATCAAAAAAAATTCATTATAATTGAAGTTACTGCAATTTAACTGTTTTTAGGGGTTACTTTTGAGGGTGGTTTTCATCCCCTAGACAGCTTTTTCCTCCGATAAAAAAAATACGTGACTTATTTTTTTATAAAGTATAACAGATCTCAATCGCAACAAAATTGAAGACGGACGGTTGGGAATGTTCCCTCGTAAGTAATATTACTAATTGTAAGAGGAATGAATTTCTTAACGATCACCAGTACATATCGTCAAATATCGCAGAAAGTCAAAATACAAGAAAGAAATACTTGAATTGAGGGGCTGGTTCTTTCCAAAAATAGATCGTAAAAGAAGCAGCAGAACTTAATAATCAGATCACAACAAAAGTATACCATGCATCGTTGATACGTAGGCCACTAAACTATTACAGGGAAGTGGCTTATTGGTAAAATGAGGAACTGGCAGGATTACGAAGGGAGTGTAATAAATGGCACCGGATATATCAAAGCATAGGAGGCCTATAGAAATGCTAGAAGAACCTTGTGGATAGTAGATGAGCTAAGTAAAAATAAAAATTGTAAGGATCTCATTAAATTAATAAATCGAGGACCTTAAGGATTTTCTTACAAGAATGTGATGGGCAAACTACACAAAATATACGGGACGAACGTACCGAGTGATTAGCCTTACCTACGGAAGATCGGAAAATTCCTATTTCTAATTGGCCAATTCCGAACTCGCTTCTCAAGTGATGCAAACATCTCAGCAGGAAAATTCTTCATCTTGCAGGAGCTCAAGATGGTAGTAAGTAGACTAACTATTGAAAAAGCCTAGAAATCGCTGGTATTCCTAACGAGGTTTTAAGACTAGTGGTGCAAAATATTCCTCTGATTCTACTGATTTTGGATGTCTTTAATAAAGGTTTAGTCGAAGAAACCTTTCTGACTAGATGGAAGAAGTAGAAACTAGTCTTGATACTCAAGAAGATGTAACGAGCGAACATGTCCAAATTAATTCGAGTTTTGCCAGTCACCATTTGTCCAGTCACCATGCCTTAATGAGGTACAGAAAAGGATTACAAAGGCCTTATACGAACTATCGAATTAATGAGGGTTTTGGACTAATTGCACTAGATTTTAAGAACGCGTTTAACTCTATAAACTGAGAACACATCTTCCAATCTCTCGCTGATAAGAAGAGGAAACGTACAGCTATTTTATTTACAATCTGTCTCACATATAGAGACAATAAGCAAATGTTGTTGTTATTATATATATATACGTATAAACAGCAGTATACTTCAGTAAGTATACTCTCTTCGTTTTACAATATTAATTAAGTTTATTTGGGTGGTTTTGAAGTCTAGAATTATATTTTGCGAAGAATTTTTCATATTTTTCTTTAACTGTAGGTATTTGTAAAATATTTCGGATAATTTTATTCAGTACGAACCATGGAGCTCGTACTATATTGCACAGGACTTTCGATTGAAATCTTTCCAGTATTTTGATATTTGAGTTAGAAGCAGCACCTCATAGTTGAATGCCATATGTATAGACTAATTTAAGTACAGCTTTATATAGCAGTAGTTTGTTTTTAATTGACAGCTCCATTTTTATTTCGATAAGCCGGTAAATTTTCCTTAATTTTAGACCCAACTGTTTACATTTAGTATGTAACAAAACTCTCTCCTTTGTTACCAATTCTTTGCGGGGTAAGTGAGGCACTTTCGCTCATGACAATTGAGGGAGAAGAACGAGGAGTGGTTGATAAATAAATTACATAAAGACAGAAATCAAATCTCACTTCAACCTATTATTATTAATCATTGTTTAAACTAAACATACGCGCGCATAACATAGTCTAATTACTAACTAACCAACTACATAATAGAATAGTAAATTACTCATAGTATTCACAAATGAATATTTTGCATTTCGTCTTAATACCTAATCGCGCACTTAACCTATTACAAACTTACTTAAACTATGCGAACCTATACTGGATAAACTGCTCGGCACGTGGGCGCCTGGACAATTCGCCGGTCGCAACTTACACTACTACAAATTAAACTTAAACGCGGACCTGTAGATAGCCGGCACGTAGATGCCTGGCTATCCTATTCAACGCGCACCGGTCGTCGCATCACCAGAGAGAGAGTGTAGAGAGAAAGAAGAAAAGAAGGCTTGACCTTTATTCACCGCTCCTAGCAACGTCGTGGATCCTGAGCGATGTGCTGCCGCAGGAAGTACCGGTCGTCGTCGCTGGTCAGATCGTTGCTAGCTGCTGGCTGCTATCGCTGACCAGGTATCCGCAGGCGACGTTGACTCTCCTTGCAGGTGGGGCTGGCTGCGGTCGCAGACAAAGCTGTTGCCGGTAGGGTTGACCTTCCTTCCAGCTATCCCAAACTGCACTCTCTACACTCTAGCAGGACTGGGCTTGGACTCCTGCACTCTAGTAGGACTAGGCTTCGACTCCTACACGCACTTATTCTTGCGCTCGTCTTGCAGCCGCTCAGCGGCGCTCGCTCCTCTCCTTACCTAGACCTATTAGTTAGGCGGCACGTGACGCGCCGCTTATCGGTCACGCGTTGCGCGCCTGCCTATCCCTGCTTGGGCCTAGTACTCTCTCTCTCTCTTTCTTTTTCTCACTATCTCTCCGCCCTCCTCAACTTTTTCTTGCACTCAACTGCGCTGGCCCGTCCTTGGCGCTGAAACAAAAAAGACCAAGTCTACCTAGATATTTTACTTTATTGCTTTGAGGAACATATTTCTCGTTTAATCTAATAGGATGACATGTATCTTTTCGAAGTGTGAATATCGTAGGTATTGATTAGTTTCATTTACTATTATTCTCCAGAAGTTTTTTTTATGTTTTTCTCCAGAAGAATTTTTTATGTAATTTTGTAATGTTTTTATTGCTATTGTTGCCTCCGGATGTACTATTAAAATTGCTAGATCATCTGCATATATTGCTGTCAATATATTAATAGACTTCGGTAGGTCCGATGTATATAACAGATATAGCGTTGGACCTAGAACACTGCCCTGCGGTACTCCTGCTATTATTAACTAACGTTTTGATAAGACTCTAATTTGTAGTGGGGTCGAGGAAAAAATCTTTTGTGCTTGTGCAGTAGCAATTCATGACAAACCTTGTTAAAAGCCTGAGCAGCATCCAGGAATATACCAGTGTAATATTGTTTATCTCCCATGGCTTTCCTTGCAACAGATACTATTTACTTGCTCAATCTTGGAATGGAAACATCTGAAACCGAATTAATTGACAGGAATAAGGTTTTTATTGAGTATTATTAGGTTAATTTTAGTTAGAATTAGTTTTTCAAAGATTTTAGAAATTGACGATGAAAGACTAATTGCTTTATATGACATTACTCGTTCTGGTTCTTTACTGAGATTAGGTATTAAAGTAATCTCTACTACTTTCCACTAGAAAGTAAATTTGCAGAGACACAAGCATGCATTGAAAACAATTGTTAGGTATCGTATTGCAATTGTCGGTAACATTTTGATCATTTTTCTTGTGATATCACCAGATCCGGGAGCTTTTCTAATCTTAATATTATTAATGAATTGTAATACTTCCTTTATTTTAATCGATTTGATTAGTCTTAGACGTCAGAGCCTTCTAGTAAGAGTTCTTCTTCTTCTTCGGTGATTATTTTTTGGTGAGGCTTCAATACTGTAGTAAGATGATTTGCGAATATTCAGGGTTCGGCCTGCATTTTCTAATTTTCTCCTCATCATTGGATTTTTGTGTGACTGGCTTCTTTTTCGCTCAAATCGATGAATCCATGGTAAACAGTTGTGACTTCATAGATTTACAAATATTAAAAGTAAATATTTCGCTTCGTCTCCTATCTCGCTCATGTACAGCAACGATAGGTCGAGTCTTGCTTCTTGTTAATTCACAACACGATTGTTGATAATACTTGTTTTATATTTTGAATTTGCAAGTAGCAACTAGAATCAAATCTTCTCTGACGTCACAAATTCACCCAGAACTGATCTCAGAACTCACTAGAGGTTCCTTATGAACCATCTTGCGGAGCAAAAGATTAACTACCAGTTCATAATTAATGGCCGGCACTGTATAAGGATTAATTCAAGTTGACCGAATAACCAAAACTATAATCAACAATTGGAATTTTTATAAATTCATTTAAAAGTAGTAAATCAAAATCTCAATTTACATAATTTTTATTTTAGATTACCACTTATATCATTTACTGGAAGCTCTACAATTGGAAAGCGAGTAGCACATGTCGTACAGGAACGATTTGGAAAGACTATATTAGAATTAGGAGGAAATAATGCAATGATAGGTAAGTTAATTTAATCTTTATTTTATTAATATTGTAAGGAGAATCGTTAATAGTCGCGCGTATCAGTCGGTTTAGCAAGCATACACTGAACCATGAATCTGCAATGACCGACATGCATGTCTATATCGTTGTATGCGCGCGTGTGTGTGCGACGGAGAAAAGGGTACTCGATCGCGACATGTGGTTTCTAGTCTCGCAACGAATAAGCTAGTTTTGCTAACCTGACAACGGGATTCCCTTTCGATATGTGAGGAAAGAACAAAGGTCTTAACAGTATTTTGTAGATGAGGTGACAAGAAGTAATCCGCTCCGTGTCACAGATAGCTCGACAGCACCCGTGCTTTATATATATATATGAATAGCTCCATTATTTTTCTAAGGAAGTAGATAAGCAATGTATATTTCAGGACAGATTTCTCCCTAGATTCTAGGGTCAATTGCCCTATGCTTGAGCATATATGTATGTTTCAGGACAGATTTGACACTAGGAACTAGGTACTATGCTTAAGCATATATGTATGTTTCAGGATAGGTTTGTTTCTAAGGACTACAGACTCTAGTGCTTCCGTTCTGGTAGTTTTTGATGAGTAGAATTAATTTATAAGCAATTTGAATTTAATTATTATTTTCATTGCGCAATTAAATAACGAAAATAGTAAGAATGCTTTTCCACGTAAACAGGTAGAAAAGCTAGTTTTCAGCTAGTAATTGAGCTAATAATTTATAAAAAAGGAACGGACGCATCGAGGAATCGAAACCGCGTTCTCTGGGTCCACAGGCCGGTGCTCTACTATTCGAGCAACTGCGGGCCGAGTCTTGTACAGTTCGCAGTGAGTATATGTGCTAGCTATACAGGGTGTCCCATCATAAGGCAGGCGCGCCCCTGCCTTATGTCAAATATACAGGATGTCCTATTTTAACGGAACCACCCCGAAATTTTCGATGGTTGGCGTTGTACAAAAAAATTGTTCAGACAACAGTTGTTTGGGACAATGGGGGCAACCTTTCTGTGAAATCCGATTTGACCTTGAGATTCATTTTCAAAGTTATTTTTTGAATAGGAACCTATATTTTTGATCCCGGATTCGGAAAGAGCGAAAAATTCTACGTTCAGATAACGTATTATGTGTGGGGTGCGGTTAACCCCTGCCCCCCTCGCCTAAGGTCATGTAGGGGTCAAATTTATGATTTTCTTCATCTATGCACAGGGATGATCAGGCAAGGGTAAGGTTAATTGTAATAACGCAATAACTCCAATACCCAATAACTTGATAACCCCAATAACCCAATAACCAAGAGATATTTTGAATAATGACCCCCATTTTTTATCCCGGATTCGAAGAGAACGGGAAATTCTACGTTTAGATAAAGTATTATGTTGGGGGAGCGGTTCACCCCCCCCCCATCCCACTGGGGCAAGGACGAGGTTAATAAGGTATTGATTACCCAACCAGTGAAGGCAAGGTATTGATTACCCAGCCAATGAAGGCAAGGTGGGAATGCTCAGCCGATCAAGACAAGACGTTGACTACAGATTTCAAGTTATGATCAAGATTGTAACACAAACATTTATCTCATAAGATGTTCAAAAATTCCCCCGTTCAAATTTATGCAGTGTTGAATTCTACGTTCAAAATTTTCAACTGTGGACATCAAAACGTGACGCGGAATAGCTCTGCAAGCTTGCATGATGCGTTGCATCATATCTTGCCGTGTTGTTGGTTGCTGTGCATAAACAACATTTTTCAAATAGTCCCATAAAAAGAAATCTGGACTTGTCAGATCTGGTGATCTTGGACACCACTCAGTAATGTCACTACCAATGCCTATCCATCGTCTTCGGTATCGTTGGTTCAAGAAGTAACGAACCATTAGTGAGCGATGACACGGTGCACCATCCTGTTAAAGCCATAATCGTCTTCTGGTTTCCAAGTCCACATCTTCCAATAGTTCTGGTAATTCATTCTGCAGGAAATCAAGATATACTGCACCGTTGACATTCCCATCGAAAAAATAAGGTCTTATCAGATAACCATTTATTATACCGCACCAACCTACGAGGCTCCATCTATGCTAATTATCAACATGACGTACCCAATGAGGGTTCTGGATAGACCAATAATGACTATTATGGCGATTGAGTTGCCCATTACCATGAAATGTAGCTTCGTCCGAAAACATGACGTATCTGAAAAATTCAGGATCTTCACGAATCCTTGCTTGTGCCCAATTGCAGAATTCGAGTCTGCGGCGGAGATCATCTGGCATCAAAGCTTGAGTCAAAGTTATGTGATACGGATGAAATCTGTACAGGCGCAAAAATCTAGCGGCGTACTGGAATCTTGGGATTCCAGTACGTCTCTGAATTTCGCGCAACGAGATATGATGATCCAAATCAACCATTGCTAAAACAACGAGAATTCGTGGATCATCGTTGTTCGGCATCATAATGCGACGACGATTTCTGCGTATTCGTGGTCGACGTCTCTCTCTTTGCTCGATGATTCCGATTTTCACGTGGTTTGGGTAGTGAAGCTTCCCTGGGTAATTTTGGCGGTAATACTTTGCCGCAGCACGATATCGGCCTTAACATGCCCCGAGAGACAACAGAATATCAACAATTTCGTTTCTCGAATAATCCGGCATATTCCCTCCTTTTAAGTCGACTAAGAAAATTACACTTGAACTATCCTGAGAAGGACTTTTCGCAAATCACTATTGTCATAAACAATACTAAAAAAATGTTATTAAACAATTTAGTTGAAACTTTGTAGGCTTGTCCGGAAGCACACCAGAAAAAAGAATGGAAATAACGTGTTATCCTACAAAATGGAAAATGACACTTCTCATGAAGGCTTTGAATACATGAAGTCAAATTTGATAATCAACTTGAAATTTAAGCTCAAGGTCACTGTTGTATGACAATTTTTTGGGATATTGAGGTTATTGAATTATTGGGGTTATCGGGTTATTGGATTATTGGGTTATTTAGGTTATCGAGTAATTGGGTTATCGAGTAATTGGGTTATTACAATTAACCTTACTCTTGCCCGATCATATCTGTACAAGGATGAAGAAAATCATAAATTTGACCCCTACATGACCTTATGCGAGGGGGGGGGGTTAACCGCAACCCACACATAATACGTTATCTGAACGTAGAATTTTTCGCTCTTTCCGATTCCGGGATCAAAAATATGGGTTCCTATTCAAAAAAGGACTTTGACCTTAAAATGACCTTGAAAATGAGTCTCAAGGTCTAATCGGATTTCACAAAAAGGTTGCCCCCATTGTCCCAAACAACTGTTGTCTGAACAATTTTTTTGTACAACACCAATCGTCGAAAATTTCGGGGTGGTTCCTTTAAAATAGGACATCCTGTATATTTGACATAAGGCAAGGGCGCGAGCTAGCTATCTCTCTCTCTCTCGTTCTGATTTAGCGTGGCTTGGTAGCGCAGTAGTGGGGAGCGTGTGCTAGCTCTAGCTGAGAACTGGAGACTGCTAACTCAGTCTCTAGACTGCTTCCGTCTTGAGATGTTGTATGCTTCCTTCTTATTCCAAATCCCGTAGTTAGATAGACTGCAATGCTGTATATCTAAGTAAGCGCTATAATAGCCTTATTCGATTTCGGAACCCTTACAACCCCATAGTTAATTTTATTCGAATATTAATTGGTAGAACTTATAGACTTTTCATATAATTATATTACTAATTTATTATTCAATTATACATTGAATACAGAATGGTTTGTCTATAATCTTTATTTTCAGTAGTCAACGTAGCTATTTTGAAATATTTACATGAATTTTTATATATATTACTATCAATTTCACTGATGCCTTAGAATTAAATTTTTGTACATTTTTAACGGCATATACAAAGTTAGCTCGATTACCGTAATGATATATACATAACGTTTTTAATGGCAAAGGTAATTCTCTCAATGACGGATATCTCATGTTGCTTTCAAAATAAAAAATTTTTCTGTAAAAGGAAAAAAAAGTTTCTAATTAATAATGATTCTAATCTTTGACTATATAACAGAAAAACATTTATTTTATATTTACTTTTCAGGTAGCATTTTTTGAAGCCATTGTTTTTTTTGCAATCCGTTTATATAAATATTTCTAGAATTATGTAAATAATTGCTCAAAACACATGGTAAAATTTTATATAGTGTAATGCCAGATTTCCACAATACACCATGATGAAACATTTCTAACCATTTATTCACTTTACGACATAGGAAAGGCAATTTAAGCCAATGATGCAGCGGTTTAAAGAAAAGTACAGTTGGAAAAATATCAATATCTAATAGTAAGTAAGTGAGTTCTTTACATAAAAAATACTTGTTTGAGCCTTGAAAGCCTTGAATATCTAATACATAATCTATTTGAAAACATAAAGAAGTTAATGTGATCTCTATGAAATATCAAATCTGTTATTAGAGTATGTGTATGAGTTTGTTCTATATAAAGTCTATACGTACCTCATCAGTATTCAAAAGTGGAAGGCGTCATAGTCGTCATACCCCCTCCCTCCAAACTTTTCCATTTTGTTACCTTCTTCATAGGCTACAGCGCTGAAACCACTGCCTACAGTGCCATCATCTTGCTTAAAAAAGCTATCTTTGTTCGACAGAAGTTGCACTTTTTTCCCGAGAGCCAACAAGCATAGCTCAGTTAACCCATCCTTCCTCAGAAGTACTACTACTAGTAGTGATTGTAGTAGCAGCAGCAGTAGTAGTAGTAATAACTCCTAGATAGATATCGAATTCGATTGAAATAACATACAGTTATTTGATATATCGAAGTAAATATTCGATTGTAATATACAGTTATCTTATATAACTTACTAACAAAATGACTTCTGTTTTGTACTTTGTCAGATGCAGTGCTGAATATTTGGAAAACTTATTACGATCCAAATGCAGATGTAGATGAATTTATTCTCATTTAAATTCTATCGAAGTCAAATTGAGTACTTCAATAAAAGTTG